ATATCTCACTAGGAACAAGCTAGGGGGGCGAACTTTTTCTATGGTAGGCATAATTCATCAAGGCCTACAAGATGCGCAAAGTCCCGACTCAAAAGCGATCGGGCACCTGGGAATGTTCCCTTGTAAGTTCAAATCACGTACATGTTGTATCTACAATACTCAATCAAGTAATCCTGATAATATTGGAGATAAAATATGTCCTTGTAGTCGTATGATTCGTCGCCATAATTTCACTGGTGATTCTATAGAAATTAGAGAGGCAAAGAAGGGAAATACTGAATTTAATCGTCCAAATGAATTTCCCGATGATAACACACATTCTGATGCAGTATCTGTCAATGTTTTTGGGACATTACAACCAAGTGGTTGTAAATTTCTTCGAATAAATGTTCGAATACCAATGAAAGATATATTTCAATTAATTCTTGAAGATTGTGAAAGACAAAAACCAGCTCTCATATTAAGTATTTACGGTGGAACTAAATATTTTACAATGACAGAACGACTTGAAAAAGAATTTATAAGAGGTGTTATTGATGCTGCTACAATGGCCAGTAAATAATTAAGTTTTCAATTTTATTTTATTAAGAAATAAATCTATTTAGATCCATGGATTCTTACGACCGGCATCAATAATGGTGCATCCAAATTAGTCGGCAAAGGCATCTCACATTATTCTCTCTTACGAGAATATCCGAATAAAATGAAATGTATTGGAATGACCATGTGGGGTAAAATAAATGAAAATACACATCTTGAGCTTAAAAGTCAATCAAAGGTAAAATAATAGGAATATTTGTAAAGAAAAACAAAAACGTCGTCAAATACAGAAGATGTTTTCATTTAGTACGGGGTGTGGGTGTGAGGGGTGGTGTGGGTGTGTGTGGGAATGGAAGAATCAAAGGTCCGCCCCCACACCCATCCACACCCATGCCCACCCTCGTTCGCTTTCATATCATAGAAAGAAATATTTATTGTTCAGGAATATACTTTATTAGAGTCAGAAGTGGTAATTATTTT